AATGTTTTCGTGTCATATACACTTTAAAAATAGGCCTACAGAATTTATCTTTCCAAAACTGTCTGACTTTCATTTACCAAACCTAAATTTCAATGTTTCAAGATAAGTCTATTTTGGACGTTAATAAATGAAATATCTGTTGATTATTCTCAGCACTGATACCTTCAACTACATGGCTTACCGGAATGATCTAGGCTCCATMACTGGGATCTCAGTCAGAATGGTTGCTCACGGATCAGGTCAAGCTTGGTGGCCGAAAACGGTAAGACCACAGGAAGCCCAAGTCTAATAACCTGTAAAACCCAACAAAAAGCTATCTTAAACAAAGCATTTGATTTATGCACGTGATTGTGAGTGGCACTGACCTGATTTACAGTGCAGACACTCTTCATCGTCATTGGTTAAATTTGACCCCCGCAATTATAGTGCCAACTTGAACCTCAGACGTTCGAGATGTTTAGTTAAATCGTTGGTTTGGGAGACTGAGGCGAGTCATCAAGACGAGGCTTTTAGCAATAAAGAAAGATCCCAAATTAGCTTTGAAGTACGAATTTCACKTTTTGTTGTGTTTTCTTGACTTAAGGAAAATATTTGGTTTGTCAGTAAGTTTGAGCAATTTATGATTTGTGAGTGTTTTCTGGAAGTCAACGGTTGAGAACAAAAGGCTTTCCACTTCCTTTTCCGTGCGCGACTTATTCCTGGAAGCCTCGTTTTGTTGGCTCGCCCCGATCTCCTAAACTCTCGTCATTTTTTTCCACAGTTTACTGTCACCGATCCAGCATCCGGTACATCTGTGACGTTCACCAATAACAAATGGCTATCGCCTTCATCGACCTATGGGACGAGCAACTTCCCGGCTCAGTAACAGGCCACATTCAGCGGATACTTAACGGCAACAGGCCTTCAATAGCAACATGTTTTAGATTAGATATTAGAGTGCTGATGGTTCTAGCTAGTACTTGAAAACACCATACTTAAAATCCCGGTTATAAGCTCCCCTGGTTATCACCCACTCCGAGGTTAAGGAAAAAAACTGGGTCGAGTTTGTATTGCAGTGCATTGTGGGGCTGTTTTGTTTGGGCATGTTTCCAAGATGGCGTCTATTTTGTCCCCTAAAACAGCCCCAAAATGCACTGCAATGACCACGCGGCCTACGTTTTCCACCTCAGCCTCGGCTAATAATCCCCCTGGTTATAAAAACACCTCGCATCTCGAGTTTGAACTTAAATGACACATAAAAGATTATTGAGAAAATAAAAGGAAAAAAAAAACCGTTTCCTCTTTTTCCAAACTCTTTCTGCTTTTTCTTCCAGTCATGAACATCTATTTAAAAAAGCTTGGTTAAGGTTTTTTTGCATGTTGCACTGATGCTGCATACCAAGTCTTTACTATGGGCGATGCGAAAGTTCACAACAATATGATTTTTTGTCTGCACGTTTATCCAGCATTATTTTTTCTGTTCCAACTTTATCAATAAATATCAATATAATACCTTTCAAGCTTAGTAAGCAAGTAGCATAAAACATACAAGTTGCAAACCTTAATTCCCCCAACCTTTTTTGGAATAGTCGCATAAAGATCCCTGTATGGGGTTACACGCTTATGTAAACTAAGCAGTATATTTGTAACCAGGAAAGCAAAGCTCGACTTTTACCGATTGAGGTTCCTTATTATATCTTGGACTTAAACTATACTGCGATTTTCATAAACATGCGAACTCTGTGTCTCCGAGTTGCACGCTGAAATTTGTTTTTTTCTGCCGTCAATCAAACCTAATCACAGTCAGTGCCTTTCACAGTGGCGGATCCAGGGGAGGGGTAATGGGGGTGCACACCCCTCCCTGGTTCGACGTTGTGCCCCTACTTCGAAGATAACCAATACAAAATAATGTTTTTCCCTTTGATTCTAAGAGGTGCACCACTCCCTGGCTTAACGTTGTGCGCAGCAGCCCTCCCTGAAGAAACTTCCTGGATCCGCTCCTGTTTCATATTTTTGACTGGCGGCAGTGAAAGACCAAATTTCAGCGTACAACTCGGAGAAACAGAGTTTGCGTGTTTATGAAAATGGCTGTGTTTTCACTAGAAATGATAACTTGCGTAAAATTCCTGGAGGTGTTTTAATCCGACTCCCACCTTTCAAGAATAACACTGTGATTGGCCCATTTATTTGGTAGGACAACTTAAACCATCTTGCTAGGTAGTTTAACTTTGCCTTACTTCCGGTGTCGTAATTAAGCTAGTTTAAATTGTCCTAGTGAAAACACAGCCAATGGCAGTGTCAATTCAACTGATGATGTAAACAATGACAAAATCAAGAATTTTTTCTAAAACAAATACCAATCAGTGAATGTCTGAATCTTAATGAAGAATTTGAAGCTGTTAAAAAAAACAAATTATCTCTGGATACAGTAGGATTTGAAACGAAGTCGACCGACAAACCATTACAATTTTTACAGCTACGCCCACAGGCAACCCAAGCTCACTACATTTACAAGAGAATGTTTGGGAATTTAAAATATGCCGTATTTTATTTGGAAAAACGTGAATAAAAGTGTGTCGACTTACCTGTTGTGTCATTTTGTTTATTTTGAACTCCTGTATGCAGTTTCAGCTAGTTTTGAAGGGTATTTTGGAAATAAATCCCCATACATTCTCTTGTAAATGTAGTGAGCTTGGGTTGCCTGTGGAAAACTCAGAAGGTTGTTTCGAGAGAAATTATACCGACTGCACGCAGGCTACGACACCCGTGCTTCCCAGAAAAGGTTATTTTCACCATCTTTTCTATTCTCTTTCATTAGTTTTGCTTTTTCTCTTTTCTCTTGTTAATTCGAAGTACGATTTAAAAAGCCATCTGTCTTCCGCTTCGGTACAAATTAGGAAAAATAGGCACGAGCAGTATCGTAGAAGTACTCGAAACACACAATATATAGCATTAAACCAGGGCTCTGCAGATGCGTGAAGACTATCTTTTCTCAGATAATGAATAGGGACAATTTCATTAGGATTATTCATCTAAAAGGATTATTGAGCCGGACAATTGAATGCGGCTAATTTATCGAAAATAAACTTTCTGATTGAAAGTGTTTCYATGATCAAGTCATTTTATCATCGAGGGTATATATTGAGCGCACATCTTAGAGATCTCATAAGTCTTTGATGAAGTTTCAAGATGTACAACATGAAAAACATGAGGGCYTTTTTAGCCGCAGTTTTGATTTTCGCAGCCTTTGCCGTGATTTCTGGCAAACCACAAAAGAGAAACTGTAAGTAGACTCGACATGAAAATTAATATTTCTGAACTCTTGTGGACTGATCGTGTTATCAGAGAACTCATATACTATATGTACCTCCCTGAGTGCTGGACAAAAGTGTTCAGCCCATCCACACGTATCGAATTTCGAAAAGTTGCGTTTTCCAGTGGCGTAGTAACCGGATACGGGCGAGAAAAAGTTCGCAATTAAAATATTCCGCTTTTAAAAACATTATATATACATTATTTTGTCAAGAATATATGTAAATTCATAAGACAACCAAACAGTGTCCTCCTCATACCATCTTTATTAATAATTAGTAAATGATTAATTCTGACCTTTTTTAAATTTTCGAGGTCCTCACGGTCCACCAACCATTGATGATGTTCCAGGTCCTCGCGGTCCACCAACCATTGATGATGTTCCAGGTCCTCACGGTCCACCAACCATTGATGATGTTCCAGGTCCTCACGGTCCACCATTAATTCCTAATGATGTTCAAGGCCCACATGACAAAGAGACAATTGAAGATCATTCAGATAACGATGGTAAGGCATTGGATTCCTACACGTCAATCATACAAACAGTATTTCATTTAGTTTTATAGATAATTTTATTGATATATCTTATTACCAATGAATTTACTACTGATGATTTCACCGTGTTTAAATAGCTATGTATTTATATGTATGTATCATGTATGGTTAGAAATTTTTGTACTATCTATTACCAAAAGAATGAATCCTAATTCTAAATTTTCAGAATTATTTGAGTCATGAATCTCGGAGATAACAAGGTTTATACTTTCGCTTTATTATTACTCGGGCTTTCGAAGAAATGCCCGAGGTATAAATTGGGCTTCGTTATTTTTTTTTCTTCAGTCACAAATCGCCCTCGAAGCCCTAAGGCGCATGCGTCAAATCAAAGTCTATGCGCATGCGTAGAATCAGCCATGAGCACATGCTTGAGTAATGGCGGACGGATATGAGGAAGGACTCGTCGCTGTTTCAAGTAATGAATAATATGAAGTCTAACACCCTCAACATTTTTAGCACGCTTGATTTTGCACAGACTTTGCACCATCTAAAAAGGGTGACAATGTTCACGAAGAATTTTTTCGATTTTCTGCTATGAAGCCCGAGTTCACGCAGATATGCGTCTAGTTAAAGATGATGTCATAGAGGGCAATTCATTTGATTTGTCGTCATTTATAAAATGAAAAACTGATTACTATAAGAAAATTAAACAAATTCGTGCATAATCTTCCTATGAAATAATTTTAAATTAATATTTTTAAATAAATGATATTTAACTGTCCCAGAAACGTTTTGTTTTTTTGAATACAACCTCCATTTCAATGAAAATGGCAATGCATATAAATTAATAGAGTGGTAAACTAAAAGACAGCTTATCCAAAAAGCCTGATAACATTATTTCGCATTATCGATGATGTCCTTGTCTTGTAGATATGGTGACGATAGATGACATGATTCTGCCGCGCAAAGGATTGAATATACTCAAGAAAGATGGTATCATTACGAAGCGCCAGGCGTATATTTCTGATGACGGGCAAGACTTCAAGTGGCCTAAAGCTAATGGTGTGGCAACGGTTCCGTACACTGTTGGACGAGGTATGTTATTACCACTGAAGCTGATTGATGCAACTGGCAAGTTGGTTAAGCCACAGGTAGCCCAAGCTTGGTTTCTGTGGTGTCCTGCTATAAGGAAATGTATGGAGATTCATCAAAAATTTCAATAAAATCATTGAAACGTGAAATAAAGCCTCGAAATTTTACCCGATCATTGAGAAATAGCACTTCTTTCGCTCTGCGTGGTTATTTTTTGAATTTAGCCCGTTTTAAGATTTTTTTCCCCACCAGTAAGAAATAAGAGAAGGCTGGAAACTCGAGTCCCAAAAGCGAACCATCACGGGTCTTTGAAACCTCGTACGTCTTCAAATTTTCTTTCCAGCGCCAAATTTTAGTCATGACCCTTCTCTCACATCCCTATAGAACCGAGAAAGTCGCATTAGAGATTAGTCTTCGCGTCTTTAAGCCATGAAATTTGCCTGTATTCACACACTACCTCGCTTGTTCTGACCCGTACTTGGAGCTCACTGCACACCAATTCAAAGGATTTCTTTCGGCAACCGACCCGAGGTCACGCCGGAAGTCTTCGTATCGTAAATGCGGGTTGGATTTGGATATAGTCTTTCTTCGAAATTATGGTGAGTGTATTTTTTAACGGCCTAAGATACAAAAGTATTTAACTTATAATTTATAACCTTATAATCTTTCTTCGAAATTATGGTGAGTGTATTTTTTAACGGCCTAAGATACAAAAGTATTTCTTCCGGTATTTCTTCTCCATACATTTCCTTATAGCAGGACACCACAGAAACCAAGCTTGGGCTACCTGTGGTTAAGCATCGGTATATCGTGCGGGAGGTCATGGTTCRAATCCCGGCCGGACCAACACTCACTTTTATCACACTGTGTGTTATATTGCCAAAATGTGTCGATACAACAAGGTGTCGATACTGTGTCACGAAAAGAAAATGTGTCAAAATGACTCTTTCTTTCTTTACAGGAATTGACACTGATGTATTGCAAAGAGCCATTGCGGTGTTCAGTGCTAAGACCTGCATTCGCTTTGTGGAACGTGATGCCCAGAAAAACTACGTTAAGTTCCAGATTCATTYAAAGAAGTAAGTAATAGTTGATCTCTAGCTGTAGCCATGGATCTAGCAGATAGGAAGAAGTTCATCTCTACCTGTAGGCATGGTTTTAGCAGATAGCACTAAGAAGTTCATCTCTAGCTGTAGGCATGGATCTAGCAGATAGGAAGACATTCATCTGTAGCTGTAGCCATGGATCCAGCAGATAGAAAGAAGTTTATCTCTAGCTGCAGGCATGAATAATAATAATAATAATAATAATAATAATAATAATAATAATAATAATAATAATACAATGCAAAACTACGCTGTAATAGTAAGCTATTATGGTTTTACTAGTTGCAATGCGGAAACAGGCAGCCAAGAGAAGGGCGAGCAGGCGTGTTATCTGATAAGTAGCTGTTCTGGAAGAAAGCAGCACAGAAATATGCACGCGCTTTTTATTATCCTTAAATAATAATACAATACAAAACTAACCTTGCAACTCTAATCTTTTATGGTTTTATTAGATGCGGTGCACAGGTTGGCAATGGAGAGAGCGGCGAGCAGATCTGTTATCTGACAAGTGGATGTTCTGGAAAGAAAGGAAAAGTTCTGCATGAGATGATGCATATTCTAAGCTTTCTTCACGAACAGTGCCGCCCGGACAGAGACAGCTATATCACCGTGCACACGGATAGAATCAAGAGTGGTAAAGTGGAAGACTTTTCTCATTGAATCGAAATACTATTTATAAAAAATGGAGATGTATGCGTGTTTTAAGAAACCCTTCAATATAAACCGAAAAATCTGGCTACGGTTTAACGATATTCAGTCTGTGTGATTTCCGGAAAGCTTCTGCCCAAACAAACTGACGCTCACTACCCTAGGTAACCACTAAGTAACGTAGTAGAAAAAAAGTGATTGATTTTTTTTCTAGGTTACTCATCCAATTTTCAAATATACAAAAGTAAAGACCTAGGTATTCCCTACGACTGYGACTCCATTCTTCACTACAGATCCACTGCATTTGCTGCAAGTCGTGSACAACAGACCATAACATCATCACACTGTTCTCACCTGGGGAACGATGACACCAGACTCTCTTTACTGGACTACAAAAGAGTTAACACACTGTACGGCTGTGGAAAACCTGACTGTAAGTATGAACATAACTTCTTGTGGCTTGAATTGTTCCCTCTATAGTCCTTTTTTGAGTTCCAAATTAAAACTGTTTTCAATGATTACAGACTCATTTACTCAGGCTTAGCTTCGTATCAGCGTCTAATTACTCACAATGACCAACGGTAAAGTAAAGAATGCACAACTCCAACAATACAAATACTTTGAAATTCCGCGGACCTTCACCAAAGTTGAGGCTAGCCCTGAGCAACAGAAGTCGAAAAAGGAGTATTCTACTTCTTTTTGCACCCAAAGGGACTTCGGTGGTATAGAGATGCCAGTCACAATCACAGCCCAAAGTGACTGAAAATAATTTCTATAGTGAACGAAGAAAATCAGTACCATATAGATAATGGTTTCCAAATTGACCCACTTTCACCTTCACTGAAACACAAACACAAACACCACCACTATCCACAAGTATTGAATATTCTGTGGGTACAACTCAACTCACATGTTGATTTTTATGGAGGTAGGAAAACCGCACTTTCTATAAGTCATCATATATATACATTATATAAGCTATACTCTTGTTAAATATTGCAGACAAGTACTATACCGTACGAGTGGTCACTTACTCATCGTGGTGGTCTGGAACTGGAACCGACTGCTTTATCTACCTGACTCTACATGGAAGCCAGCAAACATCTACAGAATTTGAACTCGACCTTTCTACAAATCCATCAGCCAATCTTTTCGAATCAGGATCGTGAGTATGAATTTCAAAGCCCCTTAGAAACACAGACGGCGGAACGACTTTGGAAGTATGGGTTAACCAAATATTTTTAATAAACTAGATCATCAACTAGATCACAAATGCCCGTTTTATTAGCAATTTGTCTTATATGCGCAATACTGTGTAGAGTCAAACTATATCGTTTATTTCCCAAGGAAAAACTGTGGGTGATGTCGTGGGTGATCATGATGACTCTGATGTTGTTGCGATAAGAATAGACTTTGCACCATCACGTGACGGCAGCCATGTTAGATGGCAGGAACAATACAATCATTTTATAGGAGAAAGAATTAAATTCCTGAGAGCAAAGGGATTCTATTGCTCTGACATCTAACCACAGGCAGCCCAAGCTGTAGTATAGGCGCCGGCACGTGATGGTGCGAATCCTCTATTGATGGGTTGCATGCATTCCTAAGAGAGTCAAAAGACAAAAGCATGGGGGTCATTTTGGTACCATTAACAATGCATGCTAATGAGAAATATTTTGTTAAATGGCACCGATGCTCCCCCGAGAGGCCGCGATGACATAACGTGCAATCGAAGAATAACGCGTAGTAATAAATAAATTATCTGTTGATTATTCCCAGCACTGATACCTTCAAGTACATGGCTTACCGGAATGATCTGGGCTCCATAACTGGGATCTCAGTCAGAATGGTTGCTCACGGATCAGGTCAAGCTTGGCGGCCAAACACGGTAAGACCACAGGAAGCCCAAGTCTAATAACCTGCAAAACCCAACAAAAAGCTCTCTTAACGAAGCCTTTGATTTATATGGCACTGACCTGATTTACAGTGCAGACACTCTTCATAGTCATTGGTTAACTTCGACACCCGCAATGATAACGCCAACTTAAGCATCTAATTAATATGGCCGTCGGCCACGTTTTACTGAGCTCCGTATTATTGTACCTTTATTTGATTAATGGCTCGAATTTTTTGAAAAGAAATAATTCCTATCCAAGTACTAATGGTCTTTCTTATACTGGCCTCGATTTTATTCTTGTAAAGTCAGTTGAAGGTTTTGCCCTTTCTCTTGACATTCCGTGGGAAGATGCCTGGCCATCTTGGAACTCCGTCGATGTCAAAGTTTACCCTTCGTGTATGGCAAAGAAAGTTCCTTCCACGAAAGTACTTGAACTAATTATTCGTTATTCCACAGTTTACTATCACCGATCCAGACACCGGAACCTCTGCGACGTTCAAAAACAAAAACAAGCAATGGCTCTACCCGTCATCGACCTATGGGACGAGCAACTTCCCGGCTCAGTAACAGGTCACAGTCAGCGGATACATATTAAACGATAGATCTTCCATTTCGTATAGCGACATGTTTTAGATTTCGATACATAACATAACAAGAAGGAAAAAGATAAATAAAAGGAGAATAAATAAATAGAAAATGCTTTTAAGGGAAAAAATGAAACATTTGTCTAGATTTTAACGCTTAAATATTCAATCAATATTGGCGAATTTCAATAAAAAATTGTCTTGTGTGGCCTTGGTTTGTGTAGTCAAAAAGTAAACAGGTAATTTTATTTTGAAGAAAAATAATTTTGATTCTCATTATCATTTTAAATATCATAAATTGAAAATAATATAAGATTTATAGAGGATATTACATGGGCGC